ATCACAACAACTGTTAGAAATATTCAGATGAGTGCATCCACATATCATGAATTCCTTTCATATCGCTATCATGATAAAAGGGTTTTCATGAACACTTTGTGGAAAATTGCGCGTTTCATCTATCTAGATAAAATGATCCTTAACGTATCAATAAATAATATAAAATTCAGGCAGATAATATGTTTTGCAATGGCAATCAGGGAGGCACAAACAATTTGCTAGAATGTTACCAACTTTCTGCGTATTTCGGCAATCAGTTACGCTATCTATTATTACTTTAGTGACTGCTACGATATAGCTGTGAGTCACCTTATAATTGCATTATCTCTGTTTTATCAACAGAAACAGATCTTTGTATATGGTAGTCTCTTGAACGACCTTCATTTTGCGGGCGATTAATAGTTCCTGTGCTAAAAAATCGTGTCTAGATCCTTCATATTACATCTTGTGGAATAATTAAGTCTTGAGCCTATAATTAAAGACGTTTTTTGCTGAATGTATTGTGAGATTTTATTATTTTAATTGCTTTTTTTGTTCTATTATTTCTTGAAATTGTGGATAAGGCTATTCAGCCCAAACAAAGTATTTTTTCGTTGCACCATCATTTCTTGACAATTACGTTAAAATCTGAGATTCATGTTCAGTTCATATCCGTGAGAGACAGAAAGAGTATGTGCATTGTGAAGGTACAGTGCACTTTATTATTACTTTTTTTAATGTGTTCTGAGACATAATTGATCAATCGAGATTTATTATTTATCATGTTGCACATATATAACTTTGTATACACGGTATTTCAAAAACATTGTAAGACTTGCCCTGAATGTTCTCAATTTTCCATAACAATGTAAAATTAATGGAAGAAAATGGTTGAAATAGTTCGACTCAATTTTAAGGCGCTAATGTTAAATACTGTATCAAAAAGATAAGCAGCAGTCTCTTAAAAATACACTTAAGTGAGTGGCAAATAAAATGTGCTTCGCAGCAAGGAGCAATATGAAAATAATATATAAATGTAAAAATACTTACATATGTAAGTCATGAGTTTAGGTAAGATATTCAATTTTTTACAACTGCATATATGCACAGGACACTTTGTGAATCACATTATATGCATCGTAAAAATTATATCTGATGTAGAAAAAAATAAACAGCGGTTCTGAGTTAAAAAGAAAAATATTAGTTAAAAAACTTATGTTTTATTTCAGCTGATTGAAAATTAAGTCTTGTTTTCTACTGTTATTTTCTAATGTTTTGTTTACTAGTGTTATTAACATAAACGAGTTGAACGAAATCTGATCACTGCATGATTATTAAAGATCATTAAACGGCAGTAACAGAAACATTCAGTATTACTTATAGTTCTAAATTTAGTCGTTCTTTAAGGGTTTGTGAATTGCTTCAGAAATGGGGATGAGTTAACGCTAGGCTTATATGAAGCATATTTCATTCGACTTTTATTAACCACATGCAGTTGTTATAACTAAAGCAAATAATTCAGACATAATAGAGTTGATTATTTAAATACAGTAAACTTGTAATAACCAAGCGACCTGCAGTGGTATCGATGTATCTCAATCAGTTAAAATTGATGTTAAAGGTATAAATCTTTAAATAAGAAACATTACTGATTTTCATTTAAACGATTGTAGAATATGTTCACTTAATTACCTAAGTGTAATATTCGACGCTACTACACACCAAAATTACGTTCTTTATGAATGCATTTAGCTGGAACAACGTGAATAGTCACCACCCTCAAGGCAAATCTTTAAACATATTCGCATTAGCTGCAATTAACTAATTCCTAATGTTTGAACTTCTGGCACTTACGTATTATTGCAACCACCTATTCAAAATCGCCAAATTAACAGAATGAGCCGAACTTTGGCAACTATATGCGCATGAATATTCTTCAGGCAACCACACTCGCAACTATTTTTCAATCAAGCAAGGTCGCGCTTTCTTAAGCGTTTTTTTTTTTTTTTTTTTTTTTTTTTGTTGTTGTTGTTCTTTTTTATTCCAAGTTCCAAAGGTTTTTATAGACAAATCGTGATATTCTTTTTTTTTCCCCTGAGATTCAATTTTAAAATATTTGGTCGTGCAATTTATCCGTAATAGAAGGAATTTGAGTAAACTTTCTGCAGGAATATAGTATTTGTTTTTCACAAAATCGTTAAAAGGAGGAATAATGGGATACGTTTGGTAGATAGCCTATTAAAAATGCTGAAGTTATGCGAGATGCCATGTTTGTGTCTTTCTCTGATTTTTTTTAAGCGAAAACAAAGCGCTATGTATACGGGGAGATTAAGAGCGTAAAATTACAGAAATATGCGAAAAATGTTATTTATTTTTTGTATCATATAATCGTTATTTAATAAATTTAAGTTTGTATTTTAAATTGATAAAGTGCTTTCTTTTAATGTTGATAATGTTTGCTGATTTACGATAAATATCGATAGCTTGGGAATCTTTAAAAAAATAACCGAAAATCACCAACTTGCACCCAATAAGTAACATCCTTTTTTCCATTTGCAAAAAATTGTCATATGGCGCCAGGGTGGTTGCATTAATATCTAAGTACCGAATTTCGTGCCTGTAATTTACGCTTTGCACACCTTCTTGTCTAAGTAAATATCTGTGATGGGAATGAAAACGAAAACAGTACTTAATTCAAATTTTATTGTTAGTGTAACTTAAAATAAACTTCCCAGACCAAAACCAAACTTAAGTCGCCATTGGTTTTACAAGAAAAATTCATGCATTTTGAAGCAGAACACATGCTTCTTTTCATCAAACAAAAATTTTCTTTCAGTCTTAAAAAGTCAAAGAATATTTGGTTTAATTTTTCAGGAACTTGAAAGTTCAGATTAACATGTTTCTCTTGTACCCAAACATATAATATTTGGCATTTGATTCCATAAATAGCTTAGTTCTGTAAATTTGAAATATGAAATGTTGAAAAAAAATTCTGTTATTTAAAAAATGGGTATTAATAAATGAATAAAATTTTAACATCAGTGGATAAAATCTAATCCGTAACATTTCGTTGTGAAACACAATACTATATCTTTTAAATTATTTGAATTATTGATCTACCTCTCATTTTATAACCTTCCCGATAACAGTCAGTCCGCTGATAATATGTGTTCTCTCTTTTAATTTGGAACTTACGTCCTGACAACACGTTTTATGATGAAAGGATGCCTAATGATTTAACAATTATCCTTTCATTCGGCATGATCTGTAGAATTTATTCCTTCTTCAAGAAATCGAATTACAAATGATTGCTCTGATCAATGAGTTACTGCAAAGAGTTCACATTTCTCTCCTATTTTGTATGATACCTTTTAGGGTAGTATACCTTTGTATAATGCTGTTCGCTTGTAACCACTACAAGACAAAAATACCCAATTCTTGGGGAACATATTTGGTTTTCATGAATTATAACCATTGGTGGACAAAAATTCAGTTCTAAAAGTATTTAGACTTTATGAATCAAATGTCACATGCACTACCGCTTTATCTAAAATAATATCTTTAACGTTTCTCTCTGTGCATATCTGTAGCCCTTGGGATGAACAGATGAATGATTATGGAGAGATCAAAAACACCTTTTTTTTTTTGCCTGACGCCTTAGGTACCAGTCGGCCAGGAAATATCCGACTGTGTAATGCCGGTAAACATCGCTAATTTGACCGAGGTTTAAATTCTGACTAGTGAGGCTGGCATTATTGGTATTTTCGTCATTAATGTTCCATTCCAGAATATGAATATGAGCCATATGCCTAGCTTTAACTTACTTTTGACGACAAAAACTTGGGACGTAGAATTCAAGTATCTCGAAATGCCTTTCTTACTCTATCACTAGCTTCTGAATAGAACTTTTGGCTGCACCAATTTAAGCACCTCCTTCTCGCGAAGAAATATAAATAATTATAAAATAACCAAACTTCGTCCGATATTCGACTATGGTCCCATTTATTTGGTAGTCGACTTTTTTAACCGCAATACCTGACAGGGGGTATAAATTGTATTAAATGATTATAAACAAACTAAGTAATAAATTGGCTAGCTGTTTTATAGACTTTCAATACCAGAGAAGACATCGTTAATGAAATAGAAAACCAGGACTAAAAACTGTAAGTTTTTACAGTATAATCATATTCGAACTAAGTCTTGATCAATTTGATCAACTCGAATTATTTTTATAGTATGTTCATATATATTTCACAGTATAAACATAATATACGTTTGAAATCATTTATATCTTATATCTAGCAATAGAATCTTACATAGCCAATTATTTTGGGCTTTCAGCTTTGTTAATCAGTTGCTGTGTTTGGTGCAGCACAAACAGCATTAAACTGAAATACAAACTCGAGAAAAAAACTAGGCAAGATATTATTAAGAAAAATCGAGAATGAAATCAAATTTTATCACACTCTCTTACGGAAAGCAGACGGAACATCTGTCACATCCACATATTTTAAATCATCTTTATTATTTTTTTATTTACTCCAGCATCTTCAGAGTTATCAATAAAAGAGTAAGTCTAAATTCGAAACAGACTGCTTTTCCATCTTTATATACACATTTTAATTCTACTTATTTTAAACATTGCTTCCATACGCGTGCTTCCGGAAAAGATGAATATGTAAATATGAGACCATTTCTACTAAAAGTCTTTTGTTAATCATTTCCAAGGCAAATAAAACCAGCAGATTTCCGCAACAGAACGCTTATTAAACGTCTTAAAATTGCAGTTAATTGCATACATAATCATTTTTAAACACTCAAAGATACGTTTTTCAACAAAATTAAGATTTATCTCTGAGAAATTTAGCAATCAGAGAAAATTTCCTTGTCAAGTAGTCTTTAATTACCGTTTGAATATTACACATCAAACAGAAATAGAAATTCTTCATTTTGGTGCATCTAATTAAAGCTGGTAACTGAAGAATAAATTATTTTTGATAACAAAATTAATTAAAGCTTACCAAATTTATCGCCTTTCGTGAAATTCATATCGGAGTGGGCTCTTGATCATAAGGACGAGTTGAAAGTTGATATCTATTTCTTGGTTTCTATTTTCAACCCAGAAATTCTGCATTATCTAAAGAGAATACGGCGATATTATTCATACATCATGATATACAATTCAATTCCTTATATCGCATTATAATTAATGCTTTGTACAACAGAAAGATTATTAAAGTACTACTTGAACTACATAACATTGGAAGTATTTAGGAAATTAATGTAATTGTTTTATTAAAATGTTAGGCATGCAGTATGACAGGTCTCCTATATTAATTAAATATGCTACATTCAGTTTCAATTAAGTTCTAAGAGTATATAAAAGCATTTTATTACCGTTTTGTGCTCATTAATCAGCAGCAAATATATTGTGAATGCATAGAAAATAATGTCGCATAATATAGAACGCGACCGAGTATGATGGCTTAAGAGTAGCATTAAACGAATATCGGTAATTACTTAAACAAAATGTATATGTATGTAAAAGCAGAAAAATTTAAACTAATTAAAGGTTTTTCATGTTTTTAAATTGAATTATTAAGGCTTTTGATTGTAAAAGTACAGAATTTTCTAGAAGAATTTCACGTGAATCAGGCATCCTGCATTCTTTAAATCTAGGACATTCAACTATAGAATGAAAGGTTTATTTAATTACCACGTAATTTTTTTATTACCTTTCATTTTTAGTCAATTTACACTAGAAGAGGAAATAGAACTAAATATAAATACTATTAAATGTGGCTAGTATTTAGAGAGCCGATTTCTGTTTACACAGTGATTCAACCAGCCTTTCAAACTACGCATAGATAGCTTGCCATATGGCCTACCAGCGGCCGAGCGGTAAATTTCCTAAACACTGTTAGTTCGGTTCGAGGTTCGAATCCTGCGAACGGGCCAGCCGCATGGACGTTTTCGTGGTTTTCGCCATATGTAACATGTTGATATGAGCCAGTTTCCCTTAGAAAGTCCTCTACGAAGGCATCTTTCCGTTCCGTGTAATGCCTCAGGGCGGAATACGTAAATAATAATAATAATAGGTTGCAGTCGGTGACTGATTTATTTATCTGTGAAACATTAGTGCTAGAGCTATATATCGGAGCTGAATCTTTGTAAGCTTCGTTATCTTTGTATTCTTCTAAATTTAAATATTTTGTGATAATTAGAAATCTCAAAAGTAGCGGTGGTTATATTTTGTTAATTACAAGCTTCGGTTGTAAAGTCTACAATTTGTAGCAATAAATATTTAGTTATGTGCCACCCAAACGGTATAGCGCTTAGGGGAGCGGACTGAGATATCAAAGGACCCGGATTCGAATCCCGGAGAAGGCATGGTTGTATGTGTCCGTCCATTCATAGGAGATAAAGGTGGCCCACCCTCAGGTGCCTCCATAATAAAGTGACCTCCACTTTGGGCCTTAGTAGTGGCCAAGCCGAAGTCGACTGATAACCCCCCATTTGATATAAATAAATAAATAAATATAATATTTAGTTATGTTCTTAACTTTATGTGTTACTGAAGATGTATGTCATTAGGTTTAGAGTAATAATTTGCTCAAACAAGGTAAAATTGATTTGTTCCGATTAAACATCGTTCACAAATAATTCGATCTTACTAATATTCATTGCCTGGCTTTCTTATTTTCCTATTCCGAATTTTATTATATATCTTGAAAATTTATTTTATTTTGGAATATTGATAATTACATTTTATCCTATCGTTCTAAGCGCTTGCAATTCTCTGTTAATTTTATTATCTTCCATATTTGTGCATCCTTATTTTCAGAAATTCTTAATCTTATATGAATCTGATATTTTTGGAATTCATTTCATAACTACACCTTTAAGGTCCCGAATGAATTACAGCATAAAATGGTGTTAATCCGTCCGATTTTCTGAAGCCCGATTGATATGAGTACATAAGGCTTTTGCAATTTTTCTTGTATTCTGCGTGAATATGAACTAAACATCTACCCTAAATAGGTCCTTCACAAAGCCTTTCTTCTTCAGGCAGATAGTCCTTGGATTTGTTGAAATAAAAATCTTAATAATTTTATACCCTGATAGTAGATATTCTTTAGTAGTTTTTAGTATACTTATTCAAATGCTATTGTAGTTTTAAACATTTGTTTATTATATTTAATTTGCATTTTTATTTTATTTCGCTTTTAAGTTAGTAACAGTCAGTTTTAATTCATATAATGCATATTCGTACGTGTATATGCGTGTATGCATATGCATTCGTGTATATAATTATGTGAAGGAGAACACATTTAGACAGCTGTTAACAGAAAATAAAACTTAATTAAAATATACTAAAGTCACGACGCAGAACCCCGCAGTAATTTCGCAGCAAAATGCTGTGAATTTAATACGAATATACATATATATATGAATGTGTGTGTGTTTGTGTGTCTGTGTTAAATAAAAAATATAAAGGACACTTAACTAGCGATAGACATTTAAACTTAATTTAAATTAAAAGACAACCCCTTTCACTTCTGCATTTACGTCTCTCTTTTTCGGCGGTATTGTTGGAAGCTTTTATCCGGTCATCATTTAGAACTCAAACAAAGAATTTCCGAGTATAAATACTACAGTTGCCTTTTGGGTACTCAGTGTAACTTAGATTTACGCATCAAAACACACTTATGTGTCATTATAATTAGTTTTGTTTCATTGTACGCCAGCACTCTGTACTTACAAAAAGAAAATCATTACTTTACAAAATAAAATCCTAAGAGCAATTACTAATACATCGTGGTTGTGCGAAATCAGCGAAATTCCGCATACACAAGATTCTTCTTACAAGTTCTCATAACCTCTTCAGTAAAATTATGAGCTCTAAATATGCTCATATTGCTCAGTTAGCAGACTATGATCCTACCACTAAAAACACCTATAAACGACAATACACAGTTCATCACAATGCTGCATATTAATTCGCACCTGTATATATTGTGTAAATTTCATAACTTTTTTAGTATCTAAATTGTATTGAACTTGATTTGTATTCTTATCCCATCGACCCTTCGCTATGTACCTCAAAGATTTCAAGGATTTTTGCATCTCTCCATTTCATGTTTCCCACAGCTACTAGCTGATATATCATAGAAAATCTCCTTTCTGTCGAAAAGCGCTTATAACCAGCTAGGACAAACATTTACTTCTACGATGGAATCGAAGAGCAAAATGCTATCGTACGGTGTCATAGAGTATATTTTTACGGCGGCACTCTGCGCTTATGTATACATGAAGCTAACGGCCTGTAGCAAATTCACGTAAAACCAGCTGGTTACATGCCTGTTTCCGAGTCCCGGTCAACGGTTGGGTACTTCCTTTCACAGTTTTCACTGTCCTGGTAAATCACGTCTCTTCGCTAAATTATAGTTCTGCATGGTTTAAAAAGTGTAACTACGTAGTTTAAAATTGTGGGGGTGCAGACTTGCTGTACTATGCCATAAGATCTGTCTGAATAAAGAAATCAACAAGTAATAAAGAGATGTTCAGATATTTCAATTGATTTTGTAATTTTTCAAAAGAGATCCAGCTATCTATTATGGAATAGTATCAACCTATCTTCTATCACCCCCATTCCAACCACGATAAAGACGCAATTAGTTTTTTTTCCTCATCCGATCCATAAAATTACCGTATATATATGTGTGTGTGTAAGCTATAAAATATGAAAGAAAATAACGACTTAATTGACGACAGAAATTTCAATTTCTGATTTTAATTTAAAAACAAAACTCTTCTAACCATCTGTACTGCGTCACTGACGTCATTATTCTTCTGCAGTAACCCGCAATGCTGTAAGCTCTTACCTAAATGCTGTTCAGGATTAAACTGTAGAAACATTAGGTAATTTTTTGGAAGCAGGAGAAGTGAAAAATGAGTAACCCCTTCACCGGAAATCGAACCACGGACGTCTGGAATGCGCGTCGAGCATGCTGACCACTACACTACGAAGGCATGCTAAGAAGGGGAAGAAATACCTTATAAAATAAATAAGCGGACCCCATAAATACTCCAGTTGCATAATATGCAGCATTTTCTTCTCCCTTGCTGTCGCTACGTAAGGATGTAATTAACCGCTGGGAAGCTTCATCTACAGTAATAATGTAATTTGCATATAATTGCATATATATATATAATTATGGGGCGTTTATAGCACCCCTAGTAGTGTATGGACCAAGAAGATTTGTGCTATAAAATTCATCTAATAGAAATAAAATAATCTATTAACTATCAAGCGAATTGTATTTCTCCAAAATTAAAGTTATCTACGCAGCAGTTTCAAAGTCTGTCTATGTCACCATCCCAGATACGACTGTAAAATAATTAATACCTTCTCTAGTCAGCTCTCTCTTAGTAAAACCAAAAACCCAAAGCTTCCAGCCGCCAACTCCAGAGGATAATGTGTCTGCAAAAGTTTAGCCAGTAAAATAAGATGGGACGTTACGTCAGCAAAAGTGCTGGAAAAGAAAGAAGATCAACGACTTCTCGCTAAATTAATGTGTCGCAACATATTGAACTGAGGTGAAATTGTTCGTTTCAAATTTCAGATCATGGTATTAAAGTTATTGCGTGGCTCGGTTTGCATATTGAAAATCACCAAATGTTTGCGATTCTGTCATCGGAATGTGCTCATCTTCGGCTTCAAAGGGTGACAGCTGCTGTCATCAAATGCATCAAAAAGTATCATAGAATGAATTAAGTTTGTGTGTGTGTTTTTTCCGGGAATTAAAAAAAGGATAATTTTTGCATCCATGAAACATGTAGTTTTTTTAAAGTAGTATTATAATCTTTTGTTTTAAATAATTGTAAGTGAGTAATTTTAGTGTTTCATGGTTTTTTATAATATTTTAATGTGATTTTTCTATGTTTAGGTACAAGATTTATTGATTTTTGACAAAATTTTAGATATACTTTATCTCAGGCTTTAAAGATGTCCCAAGCCAAAACGTTTTCTATAGGTAAATATAAATTTACCTGTCCAGTATCTGACGCCACAAAAGATAGTAATATTATCTTGTAGATAATGATTTGAAGTTTTTTAAAATAAAATCCTAAGAG